GTTGAACCTGATTATAAGTAATGAATGCTTTATTTCACTATTTAATGCAGAAAAATCAGGGAGAACCCAAACATATGTTATTTTACTGCCTGATTTTCTTTTTGTATATTTGGAAGATCTAGCAAGACATCTCCCCCATACGGCGCCCCTTGGACCGGAGCTTGAAAACCTGCTTCAGGGTCCCCATCTTCAGGTACCACTGATGTGTCTCTGCTGGTCTCTCCACACCTGCTGGATGCACTCATGGATGCACTCATGGTCCTGAAGTGGTACTCTGAGAGTGTCTCTCGCCTTCTCACTGTCCATTTCATTAATTAAGGCCTTCATCCTCCTTGGTCTCTCCTCCTCACCTCTCATCCTCTTCCAGCAGTGCAGAGCCAACTCCGTCCTGCAGATCATTTTAACCAGGGCCTTCTCAGAGACTGGACCAACTCCTATGGCCAGAGGCTCCCCCTGTTTGGCCAGCCAAAGAGCAGCAGCATCTTCTAAGTGAAATCAATTCAGTTTATTTATATAGCGCCAATTCACAACTCATGTCATCTCAAGGCACTTTACAGTTCAACCAGATCATACAATCAAATCGATTTAAAGTTTTCTATCCTAGGAAAACCAGTTGATAACATCGACTCATTGACTCTAATGGAATCCCTCACACTAAGCACGCTTCTAGCGATAGTGGAGAGGAAAAACTCCCTCTAACAGGAAGAAACCTCTAAGAGAACCAGGCTCAGTGTGAGTGGCCATCTGCCGAGGCCGACTGGGGTTCAAGGAGACAGAAGCAGAGATAGAAAAAGCAGCTGTAAAAGGCGGACCCGTCTAAATATAAATAATATAAATATTTGTTGTATTACTTTTTTTGTCAGTTTTTGGTTAATATACTTACTTTAAAACATGAATATAAACATTTTACATGATTGTAGCACTGCTGCCACCCTCTGGTTTCTAGTGGAACTGCTTGTTCCAGAGGTGGTGGATAGACCCTTAGACATAATGGGTGCTGATGAGTCAGGAACAGGTCCAGCAATGGAATTGCAGAAGAATGATGCCCATTCAAAGCCAGGTAAGAAGCAATGCGTTTAGCATTGTGGATTTAAAGTATGGCATCTATTACCTAGTGTAAGATGGAAAACACATTTTATTTTACAGAAATACTTGAGCTTAGCGCCAAAAGAGCAGAGAGATGGCAGAGGTCCAGATGCAGTGTGAAAGACGGAGGGGAGCAGGAGATCCAGCTGAGGCGTTGGAGCTTCAGCGTGGGGCAGCGTGTGTTTGAGGAGGAGACAGATAGCTACCCTACTGAGAGAACGTGCAGGTGGAGGGGCAGAGAGTCTGAGCTTAGTGGCTCAGAGGTGGATCACAACATTTATTTCAATGATCCTGGATATGGACAATAGAAATGACTGATTGTGATCAAGTGAATGTTTGTAATGGCAAAAATAAAGTCTTTCTCAGAGATAGCAAATTAACTGCCTGCAGATTCAGAGGGCAGAGAATTCCCAGTATATCTAACCTATTCTACCTTTCATAATAGAAGGGAAAATATTGTTAGGAACTGGCTGATACTGGGCTCTAGCAAAGCTGTCAGCTGGCCTGCAGACGACTATGATATTATTGTTTTATGATAATATATAGTAAAGGATTTGTTTTTAATTTTGTTCTTTATTGCATTTACTGAGGTTGTTTGTCTGATATTAACCTTTGTTTCATGATCTGAAGCAGAAGGAAACCAAACTGTAGTAAACAATCACGTCTGCTCAGAGGATGGCCGCTGTCCCTCCACCCAGGACCAGTACAGGTTTCTAGAAAGGAAACAGGAAGCTAACACCTCCTCAAACATCCTGGGCACGACCTGTCCAAATGTCCAGCGTTTGCTCCGCTTTCATCAGCTTAAACAGAGACAGCTTTTACCATCAGACTGTTCGTGAAAACAGCAAACCCAGAAGAGGCTCTGGCTGCTGAGGAGGAGGAAACTTAAATCCAGTCCAGCGCATTCCTTGTTTTTAAAGTCACAGGGAAATCATATTTAAATGTCAAATTATTCTGGCTTAAATATCTATATAAATGTACTCTTTATCAGACAATATTGTCCCAAAATGCAGAAAATTTCTATTTAAAAAAAATAATTCTGTCATAAAATGTGTGTGGTTTTTCTTCATTATCTTATTCAGGCCAGTTAGTTATACGTCAGCCTGAACACCTCAGTTCAGCCAATCATATATCAACAGTCATCTGTCAATCAATTTTTTCCGGTCATAGCATCTTGTTTCATGTGTTGCAGCTAATATACGCACGTTTGAAATAAGAAATAAGAATAATTTCCTTTCCCATTGAGTTCCGTCCCAGTGTTCATGGGGATGGACGTCTGTGTCTTCAGCAGGCGTAGAGCTAACAGAACTGGCAACGTTGCGAGGCAAGGGCTCAAACATGTACGGCTATAAGCCTTCTACACCAAACCAAGCTTCTGCCGCCCTGGCGTCCTCTTCCACAACATCTTCATCCCGCTTTCCTCCGCTAAATAAAAAATGGATGATGAAGAAGACTCATCCACCACCTCCAACACTAAACTCTCCTCCTCTTGCATGTTTCTGCTGTCCATAGCGTTCCTTGAGAGTGTCGTTGCTAAGTCACCAATTTAGTGCTACTTGGTCCCAATGTCATTTTCCATTGGGAACCTACTAACACTAAGTGGCAAACTGGTTAGCAAGATGCCCCCTTGATAAACGACCAATCACATTCACTTTATTCACTCATGTAAAGTCGTGCACAACTCGGAAGAATTCGAAAATGCAACGGTTGGAACGGCTGCTTCCCTACGACTTTAAGGCCACTTTTGGAAATTTGGGAACATTGATTGATCTAGTTATGCAAAGAGAAAAGGCTTTAGTGTCCTTCCACTTTCAGGATTTAATTAATCTTTTTTCACAGTGCTCCACTGTGTTTAAGTTAGAACACTCCCCTCAATGAAAAAGAAAAACTTTGACAAACTTCACAGAGTTTGGGATTAACCTCTCACTGCCTCAGTCAGCATATAAACCGTCCCACTGCGTCCCACTTGCTGTGTTTTTCATTTCTTTAAACGTAGTTTATATTTTAATATAGGGGAATCAAAATTCTCTATCTGTTCTGGTTTAAAATCCTGCACAGACTTGTTGAATGGGGCTTTGCTTTTTTTTAAATGTATTTATTTCTAATACATTTTCAAATGATATCCAAGTAAAATTTGGGGAATTGTTTTAATTTTGATTTTGTGTGTAACACAGACACAAAAGTGAAAAACAAAATCTGCGCAGATCTGCTTACCCTGCCTAGTCGGAGCCTCTATAGACAGTCAGTGTGACATGGAAAAAAAATTTAATTGTAGATTAAAAAGTTGTACGCACTGGTGTGTTCAGGCCTTTAAGTGACTGTCTGCTCCAACAGGGCTGCACAATTTTTTTGAATCCAAATCGCTGACTTTATCAAACACAAAAATACAAACTATTACTCTGATGATTTATATACTGTTAGATATAATCACTGTTTTCTAGTTCTGAATGATTTAGTAGAGCAGTTCTTTCTGCATCCAGGCGATGGCCTAAAATCATTGGCCGCATTTCTTTAGATGTTTTAAACATAAGATATCTTCATTCTAATAATTTGCTACTTAATCCGTAAAAGTGATTTATATATATATGGGGAGTTATTTTTAAGGATTCGAATGTGGTTGAATCAGTGTAAAAAAATGTTATTTTGATCATATTGAAGTAATTTGGGTACAGAGACATTCCAGAGTACAGAGTGTCCCTGAATGCATCTTCAGTCGATGTGGTCCTCTGTGCTCCTCAATGGGAACATGCCTCCTGCATCTTAGGCTTTTTTTTTCTCGTTCTTCAAATAAATCAGCTATGTGCTAAAAACCACAAACAGACCTTTGGTTCCTTCTGCCTCACTTTTCTCTGTAGCTGAATAAGAAACCTTCATTTTTAGTGATTCCTGTCAGTCCATACTTTGTTTTTCCTGGTGTTGCATCAAAACAGTTCTTGGTGTCCATGTTTCCAGCTATATAACAATGCTGTATGCAACATAGAAGTAGATCCTATTATTTTTACTGGTATTTTACTGGCACTACCTGTGGGCAACATAATCAGCCTAAATGTCTGATTTTACAGTTTATGTTGTTAACTTGTTATTCAGATCCCCATCAGTTGAACTTTACAGACCGACATTCTTGCTGAGGTCATTAATAAAATAACGTATACAGAACATTGTTATTATAACAGGTAAAAAGCATAAACAGCAAAGACATTTTAATGAAATTTAGGCAGAAATGAAAGTTTGAACAAATACTGCATCTGTCCACAACCTGCATTTCATTTACACATAGTTTATGTCTTTAAACAACATTTAGTTCTTTAATGGTGGAGAACCTTTATCAAGGCTGAATTTTAGAAATTAAAACGTCTAGAGAGCTGTACTAAACCAGATTTCTTTTTTGCATACACTAGTGTGTACAAAATGACAAAATAAAATACGTATAAGATTTATTTTCTCATTCCGAAGCTTTTATTCTGAAATGCGGCCATGCACCCAGGTATTTACTTTTTTTTCCCTTTTTTTATCAGCAGCTGCCTGCAGGATGGGTCTGGCTCTCAGATCAACGGTCTGACAGGAAAAACTTCCAAATAAGGCTGAAGGAAGCCGTGACGTCGCTGGAATATCTCCACGTGACGGCGAGCCCGGAGAAAACAACATGTGACGTGTGGCAGGGGTTTCCAGCCGTGGCGGCTTTCTGTAGGCCGCCTGCACCGGGCTGTGGTCCCGGTCCGCCACCAGGCTCCGGTTCGGATCCAACCGGGACCTTCATGCTTGAAAAAAAGCGCAGAAAAAGGAGCGCAGCGGCTCCCGGAAGCTGGGCCCATCAGTTCGCCGGTGTGACCATAAATGGGCTTCCTCCCTCCATATTTGGGAACATACGTCACACAGGAGACTTTATAAATTCGGGAATCCTCATTGAGATTCTGACAGTAGTGAAGCTGAGCTTAGAGCGGGAGCAGGAAGCTGAAATCTGTAGTTTATGTTCCGAAGTGAGCCGGAAACAGCGAGCCTCCAGCCTTGGCTTCCTCCGAGCATCAGCGGACACAGCAGCAGCTTCTGCCCGGCCGGAGCGCGTCCCCGCAGGGCTCAGCAGCGGACACGGACCCCAGCCCCACAGCTGACTCCCGTTCCTCCTCCAGAGAGATGGCAGCAACCAAAGCAGAGCTGCTGCTGTCCGCCATGCAGATCTCAGAGCCGATTTTCGGACACCCGGCGCCGCTGTCGCCGCTAGACGGATACCCGAAGCTGGAGGAGCTGCAGCTGCTCCTGCAGAACGCCGCGTCTGCTGCCGAGGCGGCGGGGCTGCTGGGCGGGGAGCCCGGGGAGTTCACAGGTGAGGAAATGAGGCAGAAGGAGGGTCTTTAGTTTTTATCCAGCCCTAAAAGTTGTTTTTAATGATTTACTATAAATAAATATACTCTTTTGCATGAAACATGAAACTGTGAGCGTGCAGCTTTTAGTGTTTATTATGAATGTTCTCTAATTTTTAATTAAACAGAGGAAAATAGACATTTCAAACAGCATAAACATAAAGCAGTGCATGCTGGGACGCTTCAAAAACTTTTATCACATCAGAAGTTTACAGAAACTTTACAGACTTCTGGTCCAGAAAGTTGTTTTTTTTTCACTCTATGGTGGTTTTACTGTTTTAGAGAAAAGTTTAAATCTAGGTCTTTATTATCTGTAGTTTAAAAATGATGATCAGATCTAAATGAAAATGATCAGAAACATTCAGGAAGTCTGAGTTGGTTTATTAGCCAATCAGATGTGAGGATTCTTCAGGTCTAATTGACTCGTTTTCGTTCTTCCCTCAGATTCTCTGTCGGAGTTCCCGGACTTTCAGAACCTCCCCCCTCTCACCCCTCGTCTCACCCCTCTGGCCTACAGCGGGCGCTTCACCTTCGAGCCGTCGGCCTCCTGCGGCGGTGGCAGCAGTCAGTGGGCGGAGCCTCTCCTAAGCTTGTTGACGGGGTTGGTGAGCATGGCGGCGCCCCCTGCGTCCTGTAACCTTAACCCCTCCTCGTCAGCCCCCACGCCATCCGTGACATCATCAACTCCCTCCAAATGCAGCACCAGCTGCGGGTCTGCGGACATCACCTCCATCTTCACTGCGACGCCGACCTACACGTCTTCCGCAGGTTCAGACCACCTCCTTCCTCCTGGTGATGCTCAGCATGCTCCCCAGGCCTTCCAGGCTCAGGCTCCGCCCCCTGCTTACATCCAGTCGCCCTCCATGGCGGTCCCCATGCTGCCGGACTACCTCCTGCCGCAGCAGGAGCCTGAAGGCGACGTTGGACTCATTCAGGATCAGAAACCAGTGCTGCCGCCACTCACGCCCCTCCCCACCATCAAAGCCTTCTCCTCCCAGCTGCAGCCTCAGGCGACCGCCTGCAGGACCAGGAAGCCCCCAGCAGGGCGGCAGTGCAAGACCCCACCCCACGAGCGGCCATACGCCTGCCCCGCCGACGGCTGCGACCGCCGCTTCTCCCGCTCGGATGAACTGACGCGCCACGTGCGCGTGCACACAGGCCAGAAACCGTTCCAGTGTCGCATCTGCATGCGCAACTTCAGCCGCAGCGACCACCTGACCACGCACATCCGCACGCACACCGGCGAGAAGCCGTTCGCCTGCGCAGAGTGCGGCCGCAAGTTTGCCCGCAGCGATGAACGCAAGAGACACACCAAGATCCACCAGAGGCAGCGAGAACGCCGGGCGGCCGCCTCTCCGTCCTCCGCAACAACGCCCACCGTGTCATCATCAAACCCCGCCCCCTGCCTCTCCTCCTCATCTCCCCTCGCCATCCAGACGTCCACCCCTTGCTACACCTCCTCATCCCCTGTCTTCACCTCTTCCTCCCCCCTCACCATGCAGGCCTCCTCCCCCTGCTTCACCTCCTCCTCCTCCCCCCTGTTACATGCCTACACCTCCTCTCCGTCTCCCCACCTCTACCCCTCATCCTGCTCCTCCCCAATGGGGAGTCCTCCATCAGAGATGTCCTCTCCTCACAGCACCAACATCTGCTGACGGACCGGAGTCCCCCTCCAACCCACCACCCCATGACCTTTGACCTTAGACTTTTGTTTTGGTGGGTCAGAGTCCTGGGCCTGAACTCTGTACATATATGTGGATACTGAACATTTGTGAGCGTGCGCTGTGGTGCATGTGGGGTTTTACCTACCGAGTAGGTTTTGGGATGTTTGTGTTTACAGCAGGTCAGTGTTGAATTTTCTACTAAACACGAGCTGCAAAAATAAAAACTGTTTCCTTCTGCTTCTGGTTTCATATTTTATTTCCTTTGCTTCACTTCTGGTTCATTCAGTTTAAAATGCAAACAGAAAAAAGCACTAAAAGAATGAAAAGCTCCTAAGTTAGGATTGAATTATTCAGTTGATGGGACGTTTGTAAAACACAACTCCCGCTTTATTTTGTTAGCTCTTAGTTGAATGAAATATAATTAAGAAAGCAAAACAAAAATAACTTTGTTTATGGCGGAGATATAGAGGAGTTTTAATCTAAACCGTCAGGGTTTAAGGGAATATTCTGAGGATTAAAAAGTGAGTCCATCTGCAGGCTTTCATGTCAGCAGTAAATCCTGTGTTTCTGGGTGTGTCAAACAGCCAATGAGACCAGACTTTGTCACTGTCGGCTCAGCCTGCTCCCTGCAGGAAAAACACTAGGCTTTCAGCCCTAATATGGTGTTTCCTGCTCCAGCGGATGTCCTGAATCCCTTTTAAGGAGTTTCCTGCCGGCAGATCGCCTGGCGCTCAGTGTGTGTGTTTGCTGCTCTTGGTTTGGCATCAGAGTGAGGACAATTTTCCAGTTTTTCCCACAAATTGTGATCTGTTTGTTTCAAAAGGAAATTTTACTGGTCCTCATTTCTTTTGCCAAGAGCTAGGTTTAGGATTGAGGTGTGAATCGAGTTTATGTTAGGGTTAGGCATGCTCTGGTAAAGATCAGGTTTAGGATTATGGTCTGGGAAGGTTGGAAATGACTGGAAATCCATGGGAGTCAACACATGGTCCTCACTACAAATAGCAAGACGATAATGTGTGTGCGTTTGTATCTGTGATGTAACAAGTAAATGGGCTTGAACAGCAGGTCAGACTGGGCGTCTGAGGGTAACATTTTATTTTAAAGCAAAATGCTAATTAGTTTTTGGAAGTAAAAGCTAACATGTGCTTATTTGATATAAACAAGTATTCAATGTTTGGTGTGACTGTTAAAACAATTTTGATCTGCATCTGAAAACTAAAAACAAGTGAACCTGATTGGTTGAACAGTTTATCAGCTGATGGAGTTGACCAATTACAGAGCAGCAGAGTGGATCTTACTGTTATCTCCAGTCCGTTTATTGGTTTCTATCTTGGATTTACTCTGAAATAGCAGATAGATGAGATTTTTCGGGATGTTTTAAAGGACAAACTATGATGGACCATCGAAATAGGCACATGCAATATTTCACAAACCATCCTCCAACCACAACCTATAATCAGTTATAATCAGTTAGTTGCCCTTTAGATTTGACAAACGTCTGACTATAAAGTTACAAGATAGATGATTAATTAATCCCTGATGGGGGAAATTCACCCTCTTGATAGTAAAGATAAAAACATATAAAATAAGATAAAAACACAAAATTAAATTAAAAAAAAGAACGAAAAACACTCAGTCCTTCAAGAGGCTTATTACAGCATATTTAGTAATGAATTAGTGTATGAAGTCGGGCAAGTTTATTTATTAGGTTTTATTAGTATTTGGGCTTAGGAGGATTTTGTCTTATAAACTGACCGTGACCTCAGGCCCACTGTGCGGACTAACACAAGGCCGAAGTACCAAAAAAATATGCGAATCAATGCGCGTATCTTTGAAGTTTAACTGTTACTTCGCTTAAAAACCCCGAATTTTTATCGATAACCTGGAATAAAGAGGAGTTGGATAATTTTACTGTAAACTGACGGATATAACGGTAAGAATAAGAAAATTACGGAATTGTTTTATCGTGTGTTCAATAAAAAAGAGCAGAATGCTAATTTCGGTGCAGCAGTTAAAGCACAAAGTTAAGCAAGTTTACACGCCACAAGTGTTTATTATTAGAGAATGTAGTAATGGAAAAAATAACATTGTATTTAAATATGGATGATGTGTTCGTGAAGTTTTATTATAAAAATAAATATATTTAATATTTTATGCACCGGTTGGTGGTAGGCCGGTTGTAGTTGGTCGTTTTTTTGCTATTTCAATCGTTTTTAACGGGAGTCTTTCATTTATTTTTGAGTGGAGTTATATGTAAATGCAATCTGCACAGGAAAGCGCTGTAGACGCGCTACGAATATCATTGGCAGTAAAATGCGGTCTATTTTTGGTTTGTCAAGTGAAAGTAGAATGTAGGTTTCCGTAGTGTAGTGGTTATCACGTTCGCCTCACACGCGAAAGGTCCCCGGTTCGAAACCGGGCGGAAACAGTTTTTCTTCTCTCTATTGGAGTCATAAACGCATGTTGAAATGTTTCTTTAAAAAGGACTTTATTTAGCTTTAACTTGGACCACTAAATGAATTTTGCTGATAAAATGTTGAGATTTCCAATTTGCTTTTTCTCTTTTTCTACAGTTGTCTTCCGTGCGTTATTACCCTCTAAAGATGTGCTCTGTTCGAAAATAGTTTTAGACCGCGGTGATCAGCATATTATCCTGATAAGTTCGTACCAAACGGATAAAAAGTGATGTTTCCGCCCGGTTTCGAACCGGGGGCCTTTCGCGTGTTAGGCGGACGTGATAACCACTACACTACGGAAACGGCCATGCTCCAACTTCAATCCCACCCGACCAGTTGCATGGCCTTGTGTGTCCTTTTATGCGTGTGGGTTGGCCGGATTGATACTGTTTTGGTATTAGCAGACAGATGAGTATTTTCCGGATGTATAAAAGTCCAAACAATACAGTACCGTTGACAGCAATAATCAGTTGTGAGCGTTCCATGTATGTGTTGCACACAACAGCATAGATGTCCATAACCCGTTCGTCCGATCTACAGTGGACCAAACCCTATAAAGGTTTCCGTAGTGTAGTGGTTATCACGTTCGCCTAACACGCGAAGGCCAGCCGCGTATAGTTGTAAAACGCTGACAGCCTGAAAAAAATGTGACGTGGGTTCGACTCCCGGTCTTGGCATGAACCTATATTGATTAACCCAACCTTTTCTGTTTGTTATGATTATGTTCCAATCAATAATATTCTAAAGAAATCATGCTACTACTAATGAGGTGTTTATTATTATTTTAAAGGACGAAAATGCTTAGATTTCAGTAATATGAATTGCAGGAGCTATTACAGGTTGTAGCATCAGTGTTTTCTCTAAATTCTTGAACTAAGCAGCTATAATGATCCTTTATTTTACATTTAATTAGAATAGGATTTTCTTGATGTGTCTTGAAACCAGTAAGTATTTTAAAACCTTACCAGAAAGCAACGTGATACATTTGCTTTTACCTCAATATCTTTTGTCTTCTACAGAGATCTTTATGGTAGATCTAAGCATTGTGTAAATTGTTTAATGATATGCAATTAAACCAAGCAAATTTGTTCTTTTTTTTTTTATTCAAAAAAGGGAACAACAGTTCAAATTCACACACACACACATAAATATATATATATATATATATATATATATATATATATATATATATATATATATATATATATATATATATATATATATATATATATATATATATATATATATATATATATATATATATATATATATATATGTGAATAACATTATGCTATATACAATATACATTGTGTATATTAGAATGTAGTGTTCAAAAGGAAAAGCATGTCGGGGAAAAAAAAAAACCTAGAGCAAATGTTATGGCATGCTTCCTGTGAAATATTTACATTTGTAAACCTCCCATATTGACAGTATACTCAGATTATTTTGTAGATATATTGAAACCTATAGAATAATAACAAAAATACCTATATAAACTTTACAGAAACATGTGCATTACTTTTTCCTCTCAGCCACCCACCGCTGTTTTTCTGCCTCATAGAAAGGAGACTCTGAAAACTCCTTCCAACCCATTTCCCTCACCATACCATGTGACTGGTAAATGGACAGAATTTTTGATGGACAATATATATATTTTCCTGGCACTCCAGGGAACCCAGTGTGAATATGTGGACTGTTTGGCCCCTGTTTCAGGTCTTTGCGACAAAATCTGCAAAGTCGGCCTGTTGCCTGGGATTGTGTCCTTTTTCTCTTCTTTTCTGTTTTTTCCTCAACCCGTTTCTTTGTTTCCTGCAGTTCCCTTTGAAAGAATTCTGTGGAGGAAAATTCTTCTTCTTCTTTGATGCAGTCTGGTCTTACCATCTTCAGCACTGTCAGCAAAGGAAAGGCCTCGCTTTGCAGAGGGGGAAGCTGCACTTGTGCTGGAATCTGAAAAGGAGTGATGTTGTTACTTATGACTTCAGTATAACTATAAGATAATATATAAAGTAGTTAAGATTATCCAGACACTGTCGTTTTTTCAACAGACATATGCTTAAAGACGGATTGAAACAAACCTTTAAACTCAGATGTTTTTGCACTCTCTGTTTCCTTCAGTAGAAATGAGAGCTGTGATGGAAGGGCTAAAGGCGTCTTTTGTGGGATTGGCAGTGCTGTAAATGGTCAGAAGAACATAAAGGATTTTGTTTAGCATAACAAAACATTAAAAGCATCATATTTTTCTCAGAACAGAATTTTTAATCTCTTTACCATCACCTGTTGAGGATTCTGGTCCATCCAATGCAGCAGAAGTCCTGGACACCGTTGCAGTTGGACCTAATTAAAGAAAATGTATTATTCACCATATAAATCACAGCCGAACACAGCAGATTATGTTAGTCAAAACTCAAAAACTTGTACTTTTATTCCTTCTGCTTATTAGACCTCTAAAAATGTTTTAAAAGTAATTTCCAGATGTGTAAAATGAAACTATGCCAGCTCTAAGCAGGAGGAATAACATCACTTAAGTAAACAAACATGCCAGTTAGTAGTAACAAGGAAAAAAAAGAAAAAGTAAACATGCAGAATGAAAATGTATACTCACCAACACCAGGAACATCTCCGTCAATTCATAGTCCTTTGGCATGCAGAGTAACGGTGGCAAACAGTGATATTGTAACAGGAACTTGACCGGAACATGGCCAGAACAAAAGAACATAATGAGTCAAGGCTCAGTTTTGGAGGGTTATTCATCATAAGAGAGAATAACACCCCAGTCCTGAA